AATTTAAGTTAACAAATTTAGTTCTGTAATACTCTTTTAAAAGAAAAAGGGGATTGTCTTTTATGACTTGGGGGCCCAAATTTTAAAGTTCGCCTCAGGCCCCACGAAACGCAGGTACGACCCTGTTCTTAGAGTGTGTTTGAGTCACATTATTTTGTAAGAATGTATTTTGGAATAGTGGATTGATAGAGAATATGTGGTTGAAAAAGAAGGAAAAGTTATTCATGTGATGTAAAATATTATTTTATTAAAAATGTGTGATTAAAAATCAGTAGAAGAATGAGAATGAAAATTTTAATGTGGCTTAAACAAGGGCTTAATCTGTTTTCAATTCCCAAATATTATAAAATATGTATTTGTGGACTAGCATAAGCATGTGGGGCACATTAGTGATACAAATTCATAAAATTCCGACTGGATGCAAATGGTCCAGAATGCTATTAAATAAAATATAAATGGTAATTGGAATTGAAACAAATAGTGAATATCAATTCCCATACGCTGCAATTATGATTCTGTTTTTACGTGCTAAATCATTTATTTTGGTTGTCTTGTATGTATAATTTTTATTGCCTTATTATACATGCAATATTAATATAAATAATTTAGTACATTAAAGTTTTAATTTTGGTGTTCATATTGCTTATGGTTTTATACAATTTAATTAGCATATTTTGTGAATTAATTAATGTTTAGTTGGCCATATAATTTTTATTAATTAGAGAGTAGCCACATCATCCTTAATTAGTTAAAATTATTAAGGATCACATATGGAACATAAACATTAATTATAGTTAACCACATGTGATATAATAAAATCTATCCACACGAATTTTGTTATATTTGTATGATTAATTAGCATGAAATGTCAGGTTATATTTCTTAATCTACCCACATGAATTAAGAAAAAGGAACATAATTTGATAGTATTATCATAAGGTTATCTAATAGAATGGAACTTTAACCCACATGCAAGTTTTATGTCACTAGATTCATATATTAGAACATGATTTACATTGGTAAAACACGTTATTTAGTTTTAGTCTCAAATTTTGAATAATAAGCATGTATGTTTAAAACTTTGCAGTTATTCAACCTACAACCATATATGATGTTAAATGTGAAATTCCCGAATTAAGGGGTAATAACTATAAGGTGTGGAAGNGGGTGATAACTATAAGGTGTGGAAGAAGAGAGTTCTTCTTCATTTGGGATGGATGGATATTGACTATGCTATAAGGAAAGATGAACCACCTACTATCACTGAAACCAGCACTCCAGATGCAGTTGATCTTTATGAAAAGTGGGAGCGATCAAATCGCCTCTCCGTAATGTTCATAAAGACCAAGATTTCTGCTGGTATTCGTGGTTTCGTCGAGTAGCATGATAAGGTCAAACCACTTTTAAAAGCCATTGATGAGCAGTTTGCGACATCTGATAAAGCTCTTGCCAACACTTTAATAATGCAGTTCTCATCCATAAGGCTTACAGGGACTAGAGGCGTGCGTGATCATATCATGCGCATGAAGGGCATAGCGGCTCAGCTCAAAACATTGGAAGTTGAGATGTCGAAATCTTTCCTAGTTCACTACATTCTGTGCACTCTGCCCCAGCAGTACGGCCCCTTCAAAATCTCTTACAATACACATAAAGACAAATGGTTAATTAATGAGCTGTTGACCATGTGTCTCCAAGAGGAAGGAAGGTTAGGAATGAAAGAGGGCGAAAAGGTAAACTTTACTTCTCAAAGAAAGAAGAAAAAGCATCAAGCCCAAAATAAGGGCAAGATTCCTGCTCAGCCAGACATAAAGGAGTCAAAGTACTTCTTTTGCAAGAAGAAAGGGCACATGAAGAAAGATTGCTCCAAATTTAAGAACTGACTCGACAAAAAAGGTACTCAATTTTCATTTGTTT